ATAAAAGGAAGTACTTCTTCACCCAAAGAGTGATTAACACATGGAATTCACTGCCACAGGAAGTGGTGGGAGCTACAAGCATGGACGGCTTCAAAAGGGAATTAGATAAGCATATGGAGCAGAGGTCCATCAGTGGCTATTAGCCAAAAGGTATAGCTAGGGGCTCTGGGGCAAGTGATGCTCTGTCTTCTTGGTGCTTGGGGGGGGTCAACAGTGGGAGGGCTTAGACCCAATTTATATTCCCCACAGTCGAACAGCAGCTGTGGGGAATGGCTTTAAAAATACTGACAGCACAAATGGGCAGCAGACACCTCTGCAGAGGGCAGGGAGAGCTCCTGCTCCCTGAGCCCTTTCCCCATGCCAAAGCAGGCACAGGGGGTGGGGAGTTATTTTCCCATTTTTGTCACTCATGCAGAGTATTCTGTGCACGCAGAGCAGCAAAAATGGAGAAATACCCTCCCAGTGCTTTTCTGGTGAGGGAAAAGGGTTTGGGGCGAAGGCAGGAGACCTCCCCCCCCACCCCCAGCATTCTGAGCCCATTTGAGCTGTCCTTTATTCTTTAAAAGTCATTCCCCACAGGTGCTGCTGCTTATCTGCAGGGACCCTGAATTGGTCCAGGCAACCTGGACCCAATCCGGATCCAGTGCTTTAAACGCTCAAACGTATAGTTTGGCCCTGAGGAAGGGAGAGTCGTGTACCCAGCCCTGAACACTTTGGAGGAAGGGCAGGATAAAAAAATGCCCCAGGTACGTAGAAAATATAGACTGTGTACCAGTCATGTAAACAGTAAGCATTATGTGTAACTGTTGTTAGATCCAAGGATTAACTAACAGTCAGATATTTCCATCAAATCTCAGCTGATGCAATTTGACAACTGTGGCAGTTGTTCACACGTTTGCATCCACTTTTTTTCTCATTCATTGTTAGTCTTATGGATGTCTAACCACTTTCCCTGGTTCTTTGCAGGAAACTGTACAAGCGTTACGCCTTCCTGCGTTGTGAAGAAGAGCGGGAGCAGTTCCTCTATCACCTTCTTTCGCTCAATGCTGTGAACTACTTCTGCTTCACAAGTGTCTTCACCACCATCGGTGTGTAGGGAGCAATCCCAGCATTCTCTGCTTTGCATGATAAAGGGACACCTGGTGCTCTTCCTACGATGCGTGCAGACATTGGTCTTGAGAGCAGTGTCCCTGATCCCTGGAGAAACAAGAGCACTGGGGAACTGGCATATACGTGTTGTGCTTAGGGAACGCTTCCACAGACCATGCATCATGCAGAAGATTGTTGGAATAATATCATATTAAGTAGGCATGCAAGTAACCATTTGCCTGCGCAAATCTGAAAAAGCAAATGCACACAGAATTCAAATGGAACATAATAGGGTTGATACATTGCTGTAGTCTAATCTGGGTGCTACCAAACCATGCATTGCAGTGGTAAGATCTTTCCTGCTCAGGAAGGGCTGCAGCTTGCCAAAGGTGGTGAAAGGCAGCCCTGGCCACCGCTGGCACCTGTGCTTCTCCAACAGAACGTCCAGGTCTGGCCAGGATGGGGTGTTTATATGAGGTTACAAAGAAGAAAGTCATAAGCAGCAGGATCAGTGGTTCTTGAAATGCAGGAAGTATGTACAGGGGGTGAGTTGTGTAAAATCCAAATGGAATCAAGAAAGGCACATTCCATGATAACAGTAATTGTTGGTAATGCGGTTCCCCTAGTTTTGTTAAACCAATTAAGACCTGTAACGGCTAAGGAAATCCGTGTTCTTGTTAAGACCTTGAGACTAGCTCATCAGCTTTCACGCTGGAGCTTCCCTTTGAAGTTACTTTGCTGGAGAATTGTGACTCTATTCCCGGGGTACTAAAATGTTCTCCTACAGGTTTCTGAATATTGCCACTTTTTATGTCGTATTAGCACCCATTTATTATTTCGCACAATGACTGTCGAGTTTGTCCTACATAGACAGCAGAAAGGCAGTTGTTGTTGATATGCAATGGCATACTTTACATTGGAGGGTGAGTACATCGATGAGCCCTGGGTGGTATGGCTGATTTTCTTAATCCCTTTAAAAGTGTTGGCTGAGTGGATATGGAAACAGACAGCATCCGGATTTGTTGCAGGGTTTGTGTTACCTATTGTTGCTGATAGTTGTTCTTTGTTTTTTGGGGGGCTGTCTAGAAACAAGGGTAGGCCTCCTGTCCAAGGCCTGTGAGATCAATGGATTGTTGTCCAGGAAGTTCTACAGATTAGTGAAGGGTCTGTGGCTTAGCGGGAGAGCCTCTGCTTTACATGCAGGGGGGGGCCAGGTTCAATCCTTGGTAACTCCTGTTTAAAAGGACCAGGCAGTAGGTGATGTGAAAGACCCTGGAGAACCACTGCCAGTCTGAGTAAATACCGACGTTGATGGACTGATGATCTGGTTCAGTATAAGGCAGCGTCGCATCTGTTCATGATGTGGTAGACAGGTTTGAGCCAGGAGCTGTAAATAACATCAGATGGTGATGTGGTGTTCTCTTTTGGGAGGACTGTCCTCTAGAAAGCTCTACTTGGATACCAGTCTGGCCTTTCTTGATATGTTTCCTTGCGTCATTCAGTGTGTCATAACCCTAATGGCAAGTCGTTCAGATATGCGTCCCTGTCCATGGGATTGGAGCAAGTGTGCTGGGCTGTAGACAATGGATTCAGTTGGTGGGTTTCTGGTGTAAAGTGGTGCTTATATGTCCATTGTGTAGTGTCCAGAAAAGGTACCTGTTGTATAGACTGATCTAGGCTCAAGGTGATGGGTGGGAGGTAGAAATCTCTCAAGAACTTCCTTCCCTTGGTCCAGCTGATGAAAAAGTCACCAGTAAATTTCAAGCAGAGGACAGGTGTTTTGGGGATAGAAACTGAGGGGCTACTGCTCCAAGTCAGAGCGTCATACTAAAATTGGGGAGACCCAGTGTCGAATCCCCACTCTGCTTTGAAAAAATTACCGGGTAACCTTGGGCCTGTCCCCCTCTTAGCCTGATCTACCTTCGTGGGGTGGCTGCTAGCATGAACAGAGGAGGAGAGAAATATATCCTAAACTGGCTTGGTTCACCATTGAAGAGACATGCAGGGTATAAATATCCAGATAAATAATTACATGGGGCAATCGCCTCTAATTATTTTATGAAGACCAACCTTTGCCATGTCTTTCTGTTAATGCCACCTGTTCACACCGCCGTGCCTCCTTGATTTCAAGGACCAGTTCAGTCTGCTCTGGCCAGACTGTCCCTTTCCTTTGCAGCTGTAATGCACAGCAGGTAAGCGGCACCCTCTGGAGCACCGGGCTGCTTCTACCTAGGCAGGGGTTGCTAACAGTAGTAGGGAGTAGGGCTGCCATCCCCCCCCTGATGGGG